AGGAATTCCGTATGTATTGTTTGGTGGATACTTCCTTATGTTCCATGAAATATCATTTCACATAATACATTCACTTTTGAGTGTTTCTAAGACCAACTGAAGGAGAAACAGTTTTTTAATCAAGTGATTCTGTGCCACTTGCATAGCAATAGAACAACTGTCTTTAGAAACTTGAAAGTGAGCCATATTTCTCAGGGCAAAAAATTGGATCGTCTTGAGGATTCAATTTGTCAAGCATATTGCTTTTGAAATGCTTTGGCCATGTGCCACAGGATGTCCAGAGATGTTTAATGGTGTAAATATCTTAATTCTTTGGGGAAAATAAATGACTTTTCCATCTTGGTTGAAGGAAAGAGGTTAAAAAGCAAGCTGATTGTCTTTTAACTAATACAAGACAGAATACTTAGTTGCAAATCATTTTCTTATTGTGGCTTATAATTTATATTTGCTCCAACCCCTCCTCTGAGAATCAAATAAAAGCTATGAGCCTACTTAGCAAGAAAAATACCCATACACCCTAGTTTGCATGTAATTTCATAGTGTTCACAGAGCCAAAGCTGATTCATAGACCCTGGATAAGAAACTTTGCTCTAAGAATTCTACAGATATTATTGGTGAAAAAAATCTTATTATAACTTATATATAGTTATTTTGTAGAAATTTTATTTTTCCCATGTATTTGTGTGTAGCTAAAACTTCATGAATGAATGCTTAATTATTTCTTACTTATTATATAAGTTACTGTACTTCATTAGGAGATAATATTAAGCTATTGTCCACTAGACCTAGTGTAAAGCGTATCATACCCTTGAATAGAACTCAGAAGAAAAGTCATCAAAGTTGTATAATCAATAAGTATTGCTTGATAAGTATGCAGCCCATGAATAAATATGCAATTGTAGAGTTACTAAGTTTAGAAAAAAGTCAGTTAATTTTAGGAAGAGCCACAAGTGAGATTTTACGTTTTGATTCATAGTAATTTCATATTTGTTCTATTTTTGACTTAGTTATAATGGAGAAATAACTGTGACGAGATTTAACAGAATTTGCACAGTCACTTAAATCAGGCTGATCTCCTGGAGAGTTGATATTTTTCTTAACTACTTCTCCCAATAGTTCTCTCATTTCTGAATAAAGAAAGAAAGAATTTAATGACACCGGATTTATTTGTCACCCGAAAAATATTTAAAAGCAATTTTTCAATAACTGTACTGATACTTGAGTTTCTTAAACAGTGTTGAAAAGGCGTGAAGGAACATGGCTGCCTTGGGCTCCATGTGAAGGGGCCCGGCACTCCACCACCCTCGTCTTGCATGGGAAGGCTAGCTGTTAGCTAGTTTTTAGTACATATTCCTTCATTCTCGGATTGCCTTCTCAGAAGTTCAACGTTTTAAAAAAGGTAATCAAGTTCAGAATCATACCTTTTCTGTTATGTTGCTTCATGCCGTCTTAAACTCCCAAGTCTGAGAAAAGGGAGGAAGTACCAGAATGCCTTCCTGTTCATAGCCTCTTGATTTCCTTACCCTTGACTGTGTATCTCTGCAGTATTTGACTTGGATGAAGGAAATGACAGGGAAACTTTTGCTGCCTTCAAATCTGGATCATAAGATGTCAGAGCCTTCTGTTACCTCATTTGACATCTGTTACTCTGTGGCTCCTGCAAGCTCTGTTTCCTTGGAGGTAATTGAAGCTGCAACTTATTCAGCCAATTCCAAAGATAGGTTCAGCTTAGCTTCTAATTCTCTTACACTCCCCACCCCCCAAAAAATGTGCCATAAAACTTTTTGAGTATCTTCCTTCATGTATTTGATACATTTAAAAATTGTTTTAAAACTGACTCATTAACATGATTTTATTCCCCCATACATTCTTTCAATTCACTTCTTACTGCTTTTCATTTTATAGCGCCTCCTCATATGTTATGGCGTTATTTCCATGTGTCTTGACTTTGTATCTGGCAATTTATTTTTAAAATTTTATTTAAAAAAATTTTTTTTGAAGAATCAGTTATTTATTTAGGTTTTTTGTGGTGGGGGGAGGTAATTAGATTTATTTCTTTCTTTATATTTAGAGGAGGTACTAGGGATTGAACTCAGGACCTCGTGCATGCTAAGCTTGCACTCCACCACTTGAGCTATACCTCCCCCTGCCGTATCTGGTAATTATTGATCTATAAATTAATATCCACTTAGTAGAGCTCAGTATAGAAAGGAAATGTGCAGTGTAATTTGCCAGTAAAATGAAAAATCTTCATTGGTACACGATGGCTGGAATCCATTCTAACTGGCCAGTGCTTGTGCAGTAAGTACATGTTGTTAAGTATTTTGAATATCACTCTGCCTATATATAGATGCAGTTTTCTTAGATGAAATAAGAACTTTTCTTTTTGTAGGGGGATAATTAGGTTTACTTATTTATTTATCGTATTTTTTAATTTAAATAGAGGTACTGGGGATCGAACCCGTGACTTTGTGCATGCTAAGCTGTACTCTACCACTGAGCTATACCCTCCCTCTAAGAACTTTCCTTTTTTAATATACAATCAGGTTCCTGAACATCAGACTAAAATGTTATTCCTCCTCTGTCATTTCTTGCTCTTTTGTACTTAATTGCAGCTCAAAGTTATTCTGCTTACGGGTTATGCCTTTCTGGTATGCAATAAGAATAAAAAAATAAAATCCTAAATAAAAAGGACACTGAGATAAAGAATAAATTTTCATGGTGATGAACTGTGTCTAAGAATTTAACAGATCTTAAAGCTTAAAAAAAAAAAAAAAAAAGCCTATAGATCATCTACTCTGATTCAGCTACTGGCCCATATCAGGGACCTGAGATTAGAATCCTGGTATCTTTGTTCCCAGTTCAGTGCGTTTTATTTGTAGTCTGTTACTATGAATTGTTTTTCTGAACTAATTTGAGAATTTTATGCAATTGAAGATGAAATTTGAAAATAGGGGAAAAAAAGTCGACCTTTCATCTCTTCTGACCGTTCCTTTTGCAGGGTCTCAGCCATTGGACCAATGGTAGAGTGAACCATCCCTGTCTGTGCGGGGACTGACTTTTGTTTGCCCCTCCTAGGACCTTTAGAGTCTCGTTTAGCAGCACTCCACTGCCGTTTTCCTTTGCGTGTAGAGATATTAACTTGAACCAAGAGAGCAGATTACTCTAATAGGAATTGACCCATGTTTTCCCTGTTTCTTTGAAATATCAAATTTTAAATATGAACCAGTTTTTTCATTCATGTTTTCAGAGATTACTATTTATGCTTGATTCCAAATTACTGTGAAAAGCAATCCTGTTAGTGCATTAACGTTTTAGATCCTGTGGTATGTCAGGAAGAAAGAATGAAAAATAGAATTCTTTTTACCTGGTGTGGTTTTCTCTTAGTAAGAACTTTAAACAGAGCAAGGCTTCATCATTACTTACTTATGACCAGTCTCCATTCTTGGCCTTTCATGCCCCTCTGTAGCTAAACTTGTCCCAGGTCCCCTTCATAATTTGGAAGTCACACGCCCATGGCTGTGGCCATAGGGAATAGGCCACCAGTTTGTGCCTTACCAAAGCTGTGCCTCTTCGTGCTGCATCCTGCCTGAATATGCCCAGGCTCACCTACTGGGCTCTCCACTGAAGCCCCTTCCTTCTCCATCTCAAGTGCCTCCTTCCCTCCAGCCCTCCCACCTCTCTCTGCCCCTGCTCCCCCTAACCTCCAGATCTCCAGGTAAACTTTCTTCTCATATCATGTTGATCCCTTTTAGCTTTTAGGACCTCTCAGTTTCACTTGTACATGCCTTCTGACTTTATCTTAAGAACAATCTAACTAGTAGGAAATGGTTGGCCCCACTCTTAGGGCTTTTCTCCAGGAACAAGTGCATTTTAACACTGATCTTCTACCGACAGCCTCTCTATCTTTGATGTGCAATCTCCAGATGGAATCTAAAGGTAGGAATAAGGCAGGAAGAAACCTACCTGTCCAGACTTACCAATGAGCAAGACTAGAGAAGACAGGGCAGGCCTTAGTTCTTACACCTCACCATATACACCCCTGGACTGCCCCCCTAGTTAGCCAGACCAAGAACTCAACTGGAAATTCTCTCTTGGTTCTACTGGTCACTTTGACTCATCTGATGTATTGTTAACACAAGTAAGAGGAGGTTTGGTGACTGGATCTGTTAGTGAACATTTGATTCCTATGGAATCAAGGGGTTCCCCCACTCCCACAACAGGTATTTCTTTGTTCTTCAGACTTCTGGGTGTTTCATCTTCTGACTTCAATACTTTAAATATCATAAAACACACTTTATTTTCAGTAACCTGTTAAGGAAATTACTTATTCCTATGCTAGTGTCAAATAAGGAAATCGGATCCAAAGTGGTGATCAAATTATAGCTTAGACTTTCAGTCTGGCTGCTGGTTTAGTTTGGGGCAGCTGACAGTTTCACACATGGTTTTAGTAAGAAGAGATGCACCAAAAGAGGTCTGATTTGAAGAAAAATAGACCCAAAGGGATGTGCAGGAGACTCAAGGTTGTGGAGCAAAGGGACGTTTGTTTGTTCTAAGGCAGCATGTCATAAGAAGAAGGTGAGGTTGTAATGGTTAGATGGAGAGAGTGTGAAGAAGTGGGTTTATCTTTAAAGCCAGTGACGGTTGGGTGTTGATTCGTTATTGAAAGAACCTTAAGGTTACGTTCATGATCACCACCATGTCTTAAAACTGATCAAGTTCCATTATTATTGCTGAGTCCTGAGTTGTGTAATTTCTCTAATACTTGTCATTAGCAAACTTCTTCTAGACAAGGGTGCAGTGTGTTGTGACTCAACTAAAATACAATCTAGAACAACTTTCAGAGATCAGTCATGTCAAAATGTACAGTGATTTCTGTTTTCCGAGTTCATGTTTTCCAGACCTCCTGAAGCTTTATCTCCTAAGTGTCTGGGCTTCTCCACAGTGGAAATGTCTGTCAGCTGGTGGTGTTACATGAACTGTGTCTTGACTATTTGTAGGAATTAAGGGAAATCCATAATAAGCAGCAACTCCAGAAACAGAAGTCCATAGAAGCAGAACGGCTGAAACAGAAAGAACAAGAACGAAAGATCCTAGAATTAGAAAAACAAAAAGAAGAAGCCCAAAGGTGAGTCTTTTCAGTGGATTGTGGACCATCTGGAAGGAACTTTTGAGTATTTACTATTCTGTGCCGGGCTTCTCCAAGTACTGATCACACCAGAAAGAGCCTTGTCTTCAATGTGTGCATAAGCACGAACACATGTATATGTAAATCTTCGCATATATGAGTACACCCTGAAGGTTTTGGTTAGTTCCCAGAGCTCTCTCAGGCTCTGACCATGTAGATAAATGGAATTATACAAGGAAATTGGGGCACTTGGTATGCTCATTTGCATGCCAATGACCAAGATGCGTTTCCAGTTCACAGCCTTTTAATAACAGTGGCGGTCAGAGTACTGGGTTTGAAATCAAAGTCCCTGAGCTCACTGGCCACACAGGGTTTCTCCACTGGGACTGACAGTGTGTCACACCATCTTCTTTCTTCTTTTTTTCAACTGCAGATTAAACAAGTTCAAAAGGAGGGAATTTGCTATTGCTGTTGCTGTTTAGGACACAGACACATTTTTGTTTCTTTTTGTTTGAGTATTTGTGTTTGTTGTCTTTTATTTTTACTTGTAGCTTTTGGTAGTCAATTATAGAAATTATTGTTTAACTTTTGGTGTGTCTGATTTTGTTTTGGATATTTGTTTTTTAAACTTCAAGCTGATTTTAGGCTCCCAAGAAACAAAAATGACCAAATATCCCGATATAGTATAAATTTTAATTTGGTTATTGAAATTAGACTGAGAAGATGAAGAAACAGATGCTTTAGGAAAGTCATTGCCTTTAGTGGGCAAAGCTCAGTGTAACTGCCCAGGGTGGTGTGCTTTTGGCTTATGGGTCCATGTAGCATTCTACGTCAGGTGTTTGGGGTTTTTTTCTTGCCTTTGGTTAAGCAGGTCAGGTCTCAAACCAATTTACAGAACTATTTTATGGTTTTCTTGGAGGTAGGATTATGCCCAAGGATTAATTCCTTGGCTGTATTGATTAACTCTAACTCCATCCTTTTCTTATCTTCCTAATTTATTATTTACAATATACTGTGCCGAACTTTCACATTCCTGCAGAGTCGAAATAAACACACAGTCTCATAATACAGAAAGTTTAAATTTTCTGCTTATAATTATATGATAAATAGTACCCAAAATTTAACTTCAGAAATTACGTGGTTATATGCTTTTATAAGTGGTGACCTTTATTTATGTATGTATGTGTGTATGTATGTATGTATGTATGTTATTTATTGAAGTACTATCAGTTACAACGTGTCAGTTTCTGGTGTGCAGCACAGTGTCCCAGTCATGCATATACATACATATATTCGTTTCAAGTAGTGACCTTTATTAGTAGAATATGTTAAGCAAATTTAATTGTGTTTTTTCTGTTGTTGTTATGAGTAACAATTAACATCTCTATCCCTCCAAAAAATGTTTTCCATTGCTTTCTTAAAAGATGTTTTAAAATTTATAAATAAAATGCTTAAGATTTAAATTACGAAGGATTCCACTGCAGGACATTTTCATGTTTATAACAGAGTAAACACAGTGTTTTTAAAATGGAGAGTAGAAGTTTTATTTGTTTATATTGCGTGCCCTCGGCTGTTTTCTGATTCCGGGAGATGACCTTTGTGCGTTGGCCATGTCACAGGCTAGCGATTCAGGGTGTGGACTTTAGAACCAAGCTGTCTGGATTGAACCCTGGGCCAATGTGGCTATGTGACCTTGGGCAAGTCACTTACCACCTTGGCCTCATTGTCGTCATCTGTAGAAAGCGGCTGACGACAGGACCTATCTTCCTGGTGTGAGGGTTAACATCGTAGCCAGCAAACCTGGAGGACTGGTTATTATTAACACAATATCATTTATTTTTGCACATGAGTTTCATTTAAGGTGTTGTCTGATTTTATAAAATACTATAGAAGGAGAGAAGAATCATTTCCAGTCTTCTCCTATGGATTTCAGGCTGAGGTCACCATACTTTTCAAGTCCTGGGTTTAATCACAGTTTCTCTCTTGATGTCAGCTGCTTTGAAGCACAAGCACAAAGTAATCAGGTTCAGTAGAATATACAGAAACTATTGCTTAGTGAGAGACGCTCACTACCTCAAGTGTCCAGAATAACCGCTTGCTTTTCCATGTCAGTTGTGGAGAGCCCCGTGTGTGCATGTAAATGTGGCATGTCCCCTCAACGGTCTAATTATTCAGGGACTTTTTTAAGCAGAATTTCATTTGCAGTGTTGGATGTTCTTTCTCTTCGTGGAAGTTACGTTCCTGTGTGTTTTTTGGCTTTCATTTTTCTTGGCAGTTATTTACCAGCTTTAAAATTGAGAAGTCTTTTTGTTCTTTTTCTATCGCTGTGGAAGATACATCAGAAATTGGCTTACTGTGTTTTCTAAATCATGTGATTTCATCTCACTGGGAAGGGGAGCCCCCTGAGAGCCTCTGTTTCACTGATTCAGACCCCTCCATCTGAAGAACAAGATGCCTTGATGTTTAGCATCCCATTGACTTAGACGGAGCTTCTTGTGAAAAGAGGCAGCGGCAGTGTTGACTTGGAGTTGCTTCCTTGCTGTAATCAGGCATTTTGTTGACAGACGAGCTCAGGAAAGGGACCAACAGTGGCTTGAGCACGTTCAACAAGATGATGAGCATCCGCGGCCGAGAAAACCCCACGAGGAGGAAAAACTCAAAAGGGAAGAGAGTGTCAAAAAGAAGGACAGTGAGGAAAAGGGCAAACAGGAAATGCAGGACAAGCTGAGTCGGCTCTTCCATCCACATCCAGAACCAGCTAAGCCCGCTGTCCAAGCACCCTGGTCCACCGCAGGTACGAGAGGCCAAAATGATTCTGGCAAATAAGTCCTCTTCTCCCAGATCCTCTCGGGAAATGTCCATGTCTAATCAGGCTCCGTCTTGGCTGTATTAATAGAGATGAGAATGTTAGTGTCTTTTTTTGGATGGTGCAGCTGTTCAGTGCACCATCGTTAGATATCTGCTTAGTTCTTCTACCACCGTGCCAGCCTTTGGCCCCATTACACTGGCATCCAGAGGTCCTTTGCAAGCAAAAGTGGCATAAAGCTTCTTTCATTTACCAAGCCCCATTCATACATCTGTGTTCCAAATGGAGGTCATAACCTTTCCCGCAAAACAGAACCTGCTGCTTCTCTGGTTTGTTAACGTTCTCTGGGAATTTCTGAACTACTTCAGCAGCAGAAAGTGTCACTTCTCCCCTTGCCTGCACTGGCATGGCATTCACCATCTCCAGTCTGCACTGCACACAACTGTGCTTTTACCTTGTGAGACTGTTTTTTTTTGTCTTTTGTTTTTTGGGTTTTTTTGCTCTTTGAACATAAGTTGCCTCTTTACATCATGATAAATGAAAGACTTTGAAACAGCTGGAAAATGTTATCCTTTAGATCAGATGCAAACTAGAATGTATTTTTTAAATGCCCGTGTGACTGAAGGGTATTGTAAAGCTTTGCAGATGATACTCAGCTGAAGGAAGTGATTGCTTTTTCCTTTGTATGGCAAATGATAAATGTTAATTTATTTCCTGTTTGCCCAGTGGGCAGGGATGGGGGTTGAGGGAGGCTGACACCTTCCCTGCCTCAAGCTGAGTGCAGTCCAGGGGGAAAGACAGGCAAGGCCTACATCAGTATTTCCTTGTCTTTCAATATGGGAAGTTAAAGTTGTGCTCCTTTGCCCCCTTCCGTGTGAGTTGACTGATTCACATTTGGGTCACATTCAAACTGCTGCATCGTACTGGACACCCTGGGTGTGGGAAGAGAGGTCTCTATGCTTTACAGATGTGAACTGCTGGAGCCTAAGCCAGGAGCTGGAGACCAGGGGCCTTAGGCAGCCTCACTGCATTCAGCACTGGGATGACCTTTGTTTAGAATCCACTAATGGTCTCTCTGATGGGTTGGAGTTGCTGACATCAGATTTGGCTCTCCTTTGGTTTCAGAACCAAACCCATCTTCACTGAGTGTTCCAGAAATTCCTTGAATAGACAGGAAAAGTTCAGATGTTAAGACAGGCAGTGGAGGAGGTGTCAGTCATTCGGCTTGTGTCATGCGTTTGTGTTCCGCGTAATGTTTTGTTTTTGTTCCCTTCTCCTTTTCTTGTAAACAGAAAAAGCCCCACTTACAATTTCTGCACAGGAGAATATAAAAGTGGTGTATTACCGAGCACTGTATCCCTTCGAGTCCAGAAGTCATGACGAAATCACGATCCAGCCAGGAGATATAGTCATGGTAAGAAAGACTCCAGAGAAAATGTGATTTCTGCTGATGATTAGCATCTGTCCTCTTTTTGTACTTTATTTAACAGTTGTGAAATTGTTGGCGAGTGTGAAATCTAATAATCCAGCATTTGGGGTTTTGAAGAATAGCCTCAGTCTTCTTCCTTTTCTATTAGAGTGAAAAATGGCATTGAAAAAGTGTATCCTAACATCACTTTAAAATAGAGTTGTTAAAGAAAATGGGTTCTTAACACAGCTTTGCATATTTTTAAGTCTGTAAAGCTCTGGTAATAATAGTTTTTTAAGTGCAAAATACTTGATCATCATTTTCATAGTTGCCAATGATAACTTTTATCCTTGGGTCAAACCGTCTTTTTTTTTTCCCCTTTAATTGTGTAAACTTTGCATTGTATGAAGAGTTAGGATTTAAATACAATTAATCTGCTTTCCTTCTCCCTAAATGAACAGATGAAAGAGTTTAGAATTTTGCTTGTCACAGCTTCTTTAATTGCAGTAATAATTAAATATAATCCTATGATTGTAACTAAAACTATAGTAAGAATTAACGCAATGTGGGTGACCTAAATGATTTCCTAAAAGAAAACAGCAGTTCCTCAACCAAGTTATTAATTTAAGAATGAGAGAAGTGGTCAACCTTTGCATTACTGTTGGCTTTTTTTTTTTAAATGAGAGTGGTTCAGAATTGTAAAAGAACCATGAAAGTTAAGAATTGAGACAAATAAGGTGGAGGGGTATAGCTCAGTGGTAATGTGTGCTTGCATTACCTGGGTTCAATCCCCAGTACCTCCGTTAAAAAATAAAAATTGAAAAAAGTAAACCTAATTGCCTCCCTGCACCCCTCCCCAAACCAACAAAAAAAAGAGAGAGAGAAAGAGAATTGAGACAAACATGTTTCCCATACTCGGAACCCACGTCTGAAGTATTAAAGAGTGTTGTGCGTTCACTATAATTACTCATGCATTCACCTTGCATTTCTGTATTGTATCTGTATGTAGAGTATATGCTCTTTCATGGGCAAAAATATATAGAAAGAACAGTGTCTAATCCTTAAAGAGAACTCAATCCCTTCTCCCCTTATTTTCTGATAGCTTTTTCTCCAGTTCTTATGGACTGGAGAAAGGGAGTCACAGCCAATGGTCCAGAATCTTTAAAAGTCAACAGCTCCTTGACAATAATGAAACCCACTTCAAATAATCTCCTTGTCTTCATTCAGCAAACAGTTTTTGAATGCCTGGGTGCCAGCCTCTCTCATTCTTTACAGAAAGAACTGCTGGTTTCTCTCAAGTGTGGGCACACCACTCTGCACGTGAATGGCGTGTTTCTCAGCCTCTGCCCGATTTTCTCTTTCCTAATGGAAGAGGCTGCTTCACTCCTCCTGCCTGGTCTTTCAAAATGGTGCCTTGTAAAGCAGATGAACTGTGAATTAGCTAAATAAAATGCAGTAGCAGAAATCTAAACATTATGAGGTTACAATGCCGTAGCAGATAGGACCTCACTACAAAGTTGCTTTTTTGCACTGTAAAAAATAAAAGAAAAAAAAAAGCCTGATGTTTTTGAAACTGTACTTTGTTGCAATGCAAGATGTAGAAAAGTAACATTGTCTTCTTGAGATAAGGAAGGGTTACAAAGTGTTACGATAAGGAAATGTTACAAGGTGATCTATATTTTAATGAGTAAATATTGCTATTTTGGGGGGAAACATAGTCTTGTTACAGTGCTTTTGAGTCCTTTTCCTCAAATTGGCTAGTAAAGCAGCAGCTCTCCTCGGAGAATAGAATGTAGATATACTGTGAGAACACAGCATTGCATTAAACATGTATTTTGCCTTGCTTTCAAACCTGCGCTTTCCTGGTGGAGGTTAAAGGGGAATGGGTGAGTGCCACTGACTGTCAGGAAGTCTGCATCTTATTAAATGTTTTGTTCCTTTAAATCGCTTTAACTCTGTGTAAGTACACATATCTTTGGGTGTTGTTGTGGCAGTGAAAATACGTTTTGAGTTTGTGTGGTAGGTTGTGCTTAAAATTAAAAAAGAAGAACAGATGTGAAAGTTCGTGTACCTGGTTTCTCTTTGCTCGATTCCGTGTAAGGACTAATTCAAAAGCTCTGTGTTGGCAAGTTATTAGGTCAAGTCTGTGTCTCAAGTTGTGGACAAAAGTAAGTTCCAAGTAGGTTAAAGTTAAAATTCTTATTTAAAAGTTTTTTTTTTCTTTTTCTTTTCTTTCTTTCTTTTTTAAGGAGAATACTGGAATAATTTTCTGGCTAAGAAATGCCTTTCTGAGTTAAAACCAGAAGCCATAAATGACCAAAATGGACAGATTTGACCATATTAAAAAATTAAATCTTGTAGACTGCAAAATACATAAGAAATAAAGAGCCCCTCTCCATATTACATAAAGACTCTGAAAAGTTAATATGAAAGAAACCCACACCTTAAAAACATTGTCTGAGGACATAAAGAGACATTCACAGATGAAGAAAAGTAAATGATTTAAAAAATATACAAAAGGATACCGCTTTCATTGGTGATCAGGAAAATCCATATTTTAAAAAATGAGACAGCACTTTTCCTCTCTCAGCTGAGTAGATTAAAAAGTTTACAAATACCCAGCTTTGTCAAGAGTGCAGGGAAGTGAATAGTAATATACATTGTCTGCGTGGTTGTATGAATTGGCTAAGCCATTTGGAAGGCAGTTTGGTGATACCTATTCAAATTTAAAATTCTCATTCCCCTTGATCCAGGAATTCTGTGACTCTCCCTCATCTAGGCTGCTTCTGGCACGTGCAGAAATAAATGTGTGCATGGATGTCTCCCTGCAGCATTGTTGATAAAAGCAAAAAACGAACAGCCCAATATCAGTAAGGGAATGGTTTAAATAATTGATGATACAGCTAAACAGTAAATATAATGAAAATGCTTTTAAAAATTACATAGATCTACATGTACAAATAAACTCTCCAGTAAAAAAGCAGGAATATGTAGAGTATAATTGCATTTGGTTATAAAAAACTGTGTATGTATGTGAATGTTTGTATGTATATAGTCTGGAAATACAGACATCGGACTATTAACAGTGGTTACCTCTGGATAGAGGTAGAGAGGGGGTTCATGTTTAATTTTATGTACTTCTATATTCATTCTGACAAATGTACCAACATTTGTAATTTTTAATAAAACACTAAAAATGAATCCAAGTTCAACAATTATAACAGAATGTCTGTGCAGGCCCGGAATGGTGTTTACTTTATCCCAGACATCCCAAATATGTAAGGAGGGGCCTAGGCATACCATATTCTCCTGCTGAAGGGACAGCAGTGGTGTCTTCATTTTATACCACAGAACGCAACGTGACACCCAAATGCTCTCAACTGTATTATCTTTGTGAAGTTAACAATCAACGCCAAAAAAAAAAAAGGAAATTGACATGTAACAGTAACTATTTTTAAAATTTCATAAAGTTTGCAGTTAAGGAACATGATCATGAAAACTATGCACTAGAATATTCCTATCAATCTTTCTTAGTTGAATAGTCAGGAGTTCACTTACCTTTGTGGGGATAGTAATCATCAGATTCTCAGATTTCTCAAATTTTTTTGAGAAATAGCTGGCAATACCTGTTAGATTTTAGGTCTAGCAACGTTTCCTGTTTTAATGTAGGCAGTCCTGGCTTTAAAAAACATTTTGCTTTTGAAGAAACTTGATTATCAGCCCAGTTTTCTCAAAAAATATTTTTTCATGATTAACAAAAATTAAAATGGTCCTTTATATATGTATATAAATGTACTTCTGTTCTAAATGTTGTTGATGATACAAAAAATATAAGATCATGTCTGCCATTCATATACTTAAAATCTTGTTTGAAAAATAGGGAGAAACACATGAAAAAGCCAATGTGTGATGAAGTTCCCGATGAATGCTCACTAACTCTGCTAGAAATTTAGAAGAAGAGAGGAATCAGAGTAAATTCATGTGCTCAGGGAAGACTTCTGAATGGAAGTGTCTTAACTGAGTTTGACCTTGACAGCTAAGGCTTAGACACTTTGAAAATCTCTGGCCTGCCTTCTGATCTGGAGGTCCCAGTACCTGGAGGGTGAATGAGTCAGATTTGACATCCACGGTGTATTGGGATAGCAAAAGAAATTAGAACACCTCTACTCACTGTTCTGTTGAAGTTTATCTTAAAAATATGGACTCATCATCAAACTCAGCAGGTCCTAAATGGTGGAGGCCTGAGTGCATCAGTCCTGCTCAGGGAGCTTAAAAAAAAATAACCTAGCTGGGGCTCACCCCCAGAGACTCTGGGCACTTTTAATTGGTATTTAGGGTTCAAAATCTTCTCCAGATGGTTCTGTCAGGGAGTCAGTTTGGGGAAACCACTGATCTAATCTTTTTTCCCAGTTAGGACGAATCCCAAACCATTCTGGAAAATATCCTCTGCTTAGAAATAGCCAAAAATGGAGACTTCTTTAGTGGGTGTCAGCCATCAACTAGTCAGTTCGTTCAGAAAGTTATCTCTTAATTGAGTGATGCTCTTCTAACAGTTTAAACTCATTCTTTTTTCCTTTTCTTCTCTTGATAAAGATTTTTTTTTTAATGTAGTCAGTACCTTTTCTTTCCTGCCTTTCTTACATTTCCACAACCTTAGCATCTAAGCCTGGTGGTCATAGTATCACTGCTGTGTTGAGGGCCCAGGACACACATAATTCCGAGGCAGGGGGCCAAGTCCAGCTCCTGCTTGTTTTGTGATAAAGTTTTTTTGGAGCACATTCAGACTTGTTCATTTACATCCTGCCTACAGCTGCAGAGTTGAGTGGTTGTGAAAGTTAGAGGGAAAATTTGCTAACCTCTAGATTAGAGCTTTAGAAAACAATTGTAATGTCCTCATCCAGGTGGTTAGGGGGAAACCTTGTATTTCCAAACTGGCAAATGCATGAAACACGTGCTGCTCCCCACAGCCCCCCGCCCCGCCCCAGCGCATCCTGGGCAGCCACACCAGCAGGTCTAAGTCAGTATACAGTGTGAACCTGTTTGCTCTTTGTCCTGTTTGTAAGAGGAGAGAGAATTTCTGGCTTTAGAAATATCAGTACTGCCTGATGAAGATGGCAGTCATGAAGCATATAAATGTTGAGAAAAGAGATAGAGTATTGGGTTTCGGCCACTTGTACTTGAACCTGGTAGCTGCTGTGTGCGCTTGACTGTTGCATCAGTGCCCTCCAGTAGGCAGTGCATGATCACTAACATTGTGTGGACCGGATCTGTAACATGTTCCCAAACGTATAAGCAACATCTGGGGTTTGTGCTTCCTACTTTGGCGTTTCACTAGAATGACCCCCTAATGCTTTGAGGTGTTATAGTGGGGCTGATTAAATGAAACTGTATTAAGGCCAACACTATTATTATTAAAATCCCCCTGACTTCCAGCTACCAATAGGTGAATTTACCCTGTGTATGTATAAGTCCAAATTACAAGCAACCACATTACAAAGAAGTATGTGCTTGACTTTGCTTATTCTGTCCTAATCTTGTGTAGTGTTTTATACAATTGGATTGACATTTAAAAAATATTTTATTTTATTTTTTGGGGAGGGGGTAATTAGCTATGTATGTATTTAATTATTTAAGTGGAGGTACTGGGGATTGAACCCAGGACCTCGTGCATGCCAAGCATGTATATTACCTGCCCACACCCCCACACCCCACCACCCCCATTGGCATTTTGAGTAAAGTTTTTCAAATCCAGGAAGAAGCATTTCTCATTTTCATACTGAGACTCTGTGCTTTTTCCTAAGTGGTTAATTTAATTGAACATTAAGAATGAATTTTTACTATATCCTCTGAATCTTAAAATTTAAATGAATAGATTCCTATAAGTGAATCAAACTAATTGAGACTATCGTTTGTTCACGTTGACCAGTGATTTTCCTTGATTCAGAGTGAAATAGTGATGTCACTGTTGCCCTGAAGGGTGGCAGAAACTCTTGTTTGCAGGGATATGAGATTGAGGTGGCCCCCTCTCCCCTTCCGAAGTATGCATCAGCCCCTTGCGGCAGTGAAGCCTGCTCTCCGTCATATCAGGGACAAGGCCGGTGTGGTTAACTAGGATGTGGGCTGGACCTGCCCAGGGAACATTCCCTCAGGGCTTCAGATCCAGTTGCAGATGTCGACCCAAAGTCTGGTTAACCAGCTAACAGTAGGTCACAGAACATAATTAAGTAAAGCAGCTGACCTTCGAGGAGGCCCACTAGGACGGACCAGTAGGAGTTTCAGGCAGGCTGTGAGCAGGGGTCACATTCCAGCCCTTAAAGGAAGATAAGAAGGCTAACCCACAGCACCCGGGGTACTAGACAGGTTTCTAGAGCAGGGAACTCCCCATAGAGAACCAGAAATCTCTGGTCACCTAAAGTGAGGGTCAAATAGAGACTAGGCTTTTAGAACAGAACAAAAGAGGACTGGAATACAGAGTCAGCTGGACATCAGGAGAGATGGCTTTAGAGAACCTGTCATTAAGCCCATCTCATACGCCAGGCAGTGTTCTACATACTTATCATTCCTCATAACAACCATAATAAATCAGGTACTATTATTATCGCCCATTTGATTGATGAAGAAACTGAGGCACAAAGAGATTAAACTTACCCAAAGTCAGCCAGCTAATAAATTGCAGAAGTTCTATTAAAACTGAGGCAGTCCAATTGCAGAGTCCTACTCTTGATCATTCTACTTCGCAGTCTTGAGTTGAAGTTATTGTGTGTCTGGCTCAAGCTCCTCGTTCACTGCCGCCTGACATCACCTTTGGTCCTGGGACACGTGGAGGAGGCAGGAACTTGGCTGTTGAACCTGCTGCGAAGTTGGGGAGGCCCGGATACAACCTGGCATAGAAACAGCAGTGTTTCCAATGCAGAGCAGCTCGGAAGTTCAAATGCATCATCATATCACCAATAAATATACATGAGGAAGGAAAGGCACCTAGTGGCCGTTTGAGTTTAGCAAAAAAAAATAAGATCCAAGAGGAAAAAAATGTCATCTTAAATCCTCATCTAGAGAAACAGTGGGGTTGCCCAGAAAAAGAAAAGAAGAAAACAGTGTTTTTTGGTGGGGAGGGGTTGAATGAGAGGTGGCCCCCAAGTGGATACAGGTGTTAGCAGGAGTAACGGAACTGTAAAGCCAAAAATAGAAGCTTTGGGAGCAGTGTTGCACTTTTTCTCAGGGAACTCCTTTTTGGAGAATTCTCAGCTTTAGAAATTGCTTTTACTACTGACAATCAGGGTTCTCTAAGTTGGAGCAACAAGGAAGCTCTCCTACGTACTGAATATTTTATAACTAATGTGTGCAATTAAGTAGTAAGCCCCATATTCTTCTCCCTCCGCCTCTACCCCAGGCTTTTTTTTTCATTCAAATATTACACCAAATTACTCTACACTGAATGTAAATGTTTGGTTCCGTAGTTTTGTTGTAGTGGTTGTTGTTTTACCGAATGTTTGAATGGGTCATAAAACTTGTATTTTTGCCACATTTTCCAAAGTCATTTTTAAGACCCTGTCTACTCATCTCTGATTTCAAAAAAGCACTCTTAATGTCCAAGGAAGTGTTCGGGGTGTCACCTCCTTGGCAGTATGTTAAGGGATAAAAGTTGGGATAAGGCCTCTGACAGAACCTTGTTTGACTTACTGTAATGAAAACAGTTTTCTAATAGTAACTGTAATTGTCCCCAAATTGATCTCCGGTTGTTCATAAAATAGTGAGGTAACTTGTAAAGATAAGTAGGGTCATTCTGGTGATTTTGACTCATCCTTTTGAGTCAGAATTAAAATTAAATGCAAACATTAAAAATACACTCCTGTGAAACTTTTAAACCGCAGATTTCTATCATCTTGTGCACTTTTGTGAATATTAAAATTAAATGGATACAAAAGAAAACTATAGGACCTTAATAACACTAATTATTGCTCTAAATAATCATTTCCCGAGTTTTCTCATCATGTCTTTGGAGCCTTTAAGTAGCTGAACATGGTAGTCAGCTTTGCTTCCTATAGAAACCATCTAAGGCTATTTTTTTTTAATCTTTGTGTCCTTAATGCTGAATAAGTACTGCTTAGTTATTAGAGATTTTTAGAGTGCTAAATTTATACTGATTGCACCCTTTGCTTTCCACTTTAAATAATAAACCCAAGACAAATTATTTTTAATAATTACATGACTTCCTGAGGGATGAAGTCTGTCAGATCACTTTCCAATTCAAAATAGCTCTAGAATTTTAAACTCTAGGTCCTATTAGAATTCTAAGCACTTTATCTTAACTGTTATTTTTAGGAAAGAGAAAAGCTAAACAAGCACAAAGAATAAGAACTTGATTATAGGACCTACGGTTTCTTCAGAGTTTATGTTTAGAGACCATTTTCCAGACTCTTAGACTAAGAGTAAGGTGAAGAAGTGTCTGTGCCATGTGTTAGTCTGACCGGGTCAGAGGCAGGGGCTTCGTGTTTGGTGTCTTTAGGGAGATTGATTTAGTTCCACTTAAATTAAACTTTGTGACTTTCCTGTAGGTGGATGAGAGCCAAACTGGAGAACCGGGGTGGCTTGGAGGAGAATTAAAGGGCAAGACAGGGTGGTTCCCTGCAAACTACGCAGAGAAGATCCCAGAAAACGAGGTTCCCGCTCCAGTCAAAGCAGTGACTGATGCCACCTCCACCCCTGCGCCCAAACTGGCTGTGCGTGAGGCCCCCGCCTCTTCGGCCGTGACGTCCGCGGAGCCCTCCACGACCCCCAACAACTGGGCCGACTTCAGCTCCACGTACGTGCAGGGCGCCGTCTGAGGACCTCTGAAATCCCAGCATAGCGATCTTTTAAGTGTTGTTAACGTCTTGGGTTGAGCCTCTGTGTCACTTCCATGACCGCTTTCTCTGACTGGTCTTCTGGCAAACTGTGGATTGCATTCTCTGAGCTGGGTTTAATTACATCGTTGCTCAACGGTGATTTGTGCTGGGATGGTATAAAGCCTACCACCTTGTTTCTTTCAATAATTTGCCTGTATCTTTCATTCTTGTGGAAGAAATTGAGGAATATAATTTCCTAATAATCTGTTTGACACCCGTGTCCATCAGCAAATATTCAGAGTTATTTCCAGCATGTAAATAGCACTTTTTTTTTGGCTGGACAAAACAGAAATTGAGTTCAGACGTGTGGTTTTGGACAAGATAGATAGTTTCCTTTAAAGCTTTCCTCTTTCATCAGTCCTGTACACATGTACAGCAGTGAAGAGAGACGTGTGTTCTTGGCCACTGTTGGTGCTGTACCCTTGGTCACCAGAAAATAGCATTAAAAACAGTGTGTAAGCAATGGTTTGAAATGACAGGTGAAGCCACCATCCACACTACCAGTTACAGGATTGATCTAGGTGTGCAGTTGTCTAGAAATATTTGCTATGGGCATTCAAGTAAAGGTGATGTGAGTAAGAAGGGTTTTACATTTATTTTCAAGTCTAATCATCTTTCAGAAGAAACAAATCAAAGACACAAAGTCAAGGAATAATGCTGGAGAAGGATCAGGTTGATCAGATAGAGGAGACAGAGGCGTGTAATGACCAAGGGCAGGAGGAAATGGAGGGAAAGATGCAAGAATAGCAAGTTTTTCATACTTATATTTGCATATAAAAGGTAGAAAGAGCTAATGAGGGTCTTCCCTACGTAATCTCTGCTAGAAAGCAGTCTTCTACGAGTATGATTGAAACCAAATTGAAACTCTTCTCTCGATCTTTCTTTTTTAATTGAAGTAGAGTTGATTTACAACATTGTGTTAGTTTCAGGGGTACAGCAAAGGGATTCAGCTGCACATATTTTTTTCAAACTGTTTTCCATTCTAGGTTATTACGAGCTATTGAATGCAGCTCCCTGTGCTCTCCAGCAGGTCCTTGTTGCTTCTCTAGTTGGTGTACAGTAGTTTGTTTTCTCTCTCTTGATCTTGATTGCAGAGTTCTGACTTTATAAACTAAAGCTTAGGCTAAAATAGAAGGCAAACACTATGTTTTCCAGGAGTTTGTTTTGCTGTGGATCCAATCAGTGTGACTGGCTTGATAAATGTGTGGTGTGCAGCTCTCCAGCTGTCATTATGGGCATCTTATTTTCCAAACCCAAAGTCAGGATGTGCTGTCTAACGGCCATATTTTGATTTTCAAATGTCTCTGTGTCTTATGAAGATGTACAAAATATAAATTGCACTTTAAATCTGCACTTACACAAACGTGTTTATTTAAAGTTATAAAAATCCCAAAATTAAAACGGTCACTGAGATCAGGACAACAGTTTGCTTTGAGGATACCACTTAGTTACCACGTGTCCGGGTACATGGCCTGGTACTTGCCGTGCGATGTGTGGGACAGAGAGATGGCGTTAAGAAGCACCCGCTGCCAGACTGGCATTATTTCCTATGTGATATGAAACTTCTTTTTTGCTGATTTAGCGTGGTTGTTGCAAATGAAGATAATGATCCTGTGAGGATGTTTCCCCAGCACCTCTGGGCACTTCCCAGTTACAGAGTATTTCCCTACTTAGTATCTCATGTGACCCTCACAACTACCCAGAGTGGCAGAATGTTGTTCCCATTTATCAATGAGGAAATCAGGATGCAAAGAAATGACTGATATTTGCCTGAGACCCATCAGTAGTGTGTGACGCTCAGACACAAACCCAAGTCCAGTGCTCTTTCCTCCCCTCTTGTTCTTGAACGTAGGAAGCCCTGTCTGTGTACTGGGTCTGTGTTGCGAGTGGGAGAAACACGGGCATACTGGCGAGTACTTGCTACTCACGGTGGCGTGCTCTTCCTTCCAGGTGGCCCACCAGCACGAGCGAGAAACCAGAGACCGATAACTGGGACGCGTGGGCAGCCCAGCCCTCCCTCACCGTTCCAAGTGCCGGGCAGTTAAGGCAGAGATCGGCCTTTACTCCAGCCACGGCCACAGGCTCCTCTCCATCTCCCGTCTTAGGCCAGGTAAAAGCAGCCAGCGGGAGCGGGACGGGATGGACAGATTCAGCAAATGCTGTGGTCGGGGCCATTTAGGAGTAAGCCTCATCGTGTGTGTCTGGCCTGCTGGCAGTGCGGGATCTGGTTCACGTTTTCCCAGTAGCCTCTAAGGAGCCTGGAGTATGCTGGGAGTAGTGACCGTTCAGAGGAGGGTAAGCTGCCTGGGTTGGTCAGGGAAGGTCACTAGAACTGCATTTTGAGCTGTGGGTAAGAGCTTAGTAGGAAACGCAGAGGGCTGGCATGTCAGACAGAAAATTCTGTGAGGGGAGACTTGCAGTATAGATCAGAGTGTGTTTCAGGAAAATCACAGTTCTGTCCATTTGGCCAGACCAGTGAGTATTTATCGGAAAAGCTAGACTGATGACAGATTGGTGGGAAGCTCTTAAGTGCCTTACCAAGAAAGTAATTTCTGAAAGGATGAAGGTGGTTATTTTGAGCATTTCTACTTAATGCAATAAAGATAAAGGAATTAAGTTTCTATATAAAATCAGTCAAGCCAAACAGAGAAATTGCCCACCTGGCAGGCATTTGGGGGTAGGGGACAACCGGATTGAACTCGGGCTCCAGGTGGGTTCAGGTGGAGGTGGTGTGTGTGGGAGATCTGAGCGGCGGACGCAGGGGCAGGGACAACAGTTAAGAGGATGGAGTCCCAAGGAAAGGAAGGTCTGGGACTGAGGAGAAGATTTGACCTCAAAGGGGAACAAGGAAGGCAGGCAGAGAAGTTGAGCTTTAGTCAGAGGAAGGAGTTGGGTTTTAGACGTGTTCATTTAGGTGAAAGGGAACATCCAGGTAGTCCTATCTGGCAGGTGGAACATAGGTCAGATCTAAGGAAATGAGGGCACTCTTCAAAGGAGGGAGTGCAGGGAAGATGGACCGTGCACGGAGCACGTGTCGTCTCTGACCTGGAAGAAAGGCCGCTTCTGACGAGGGATGTTCCCTTCCTTCGCATCTGTCTGGCTCAGCAGGTGGTGAGTCTCGGTCAGTAGTGGTGACTCTGGTGGAGGGGGAGGGCACAGGACCAGGGAAGCAGGGGAGGGGGGAGCTGTTTCCAGAAAAGGGGGTGGTGCTCATATTAGAGGCTGTGGTCTGGGCAAACAGGAGACTGTTCAGTGTGGCAAGCAGAATGTATTTGTATCAGGTTGCAGAGGAATACAGAGGAAATGATTGGTGGAAAAGTGGAAAGATTTGTGAAAGCCAAGAGAAGCAGCAGAGCGGAAGGAGGGCATCAGGAAAGGCAGGAACCAGCCACGTGGCCAGTGGAAGAAAGGATGAAAAGCCAAGTCCCAGAGAATCTACGTGGAAATAGCATGAAAAGCACAGAAAGGAAGATGGGATTCTTTTTCTTCTGGGAGAGAAAGGATGAAGAGAGGTTGGAGAAAGAAAGAAAGAAGTTCAGGTTGTGCGCAGGCAGCTTTCTCAGGAGGGGCCCCCAGGAGCCTCTGGAGCCTGCAGAACAGGAAGTCAGCAGAGAAGAGTGAAGCCTGACTTGGCTGAGTTTAACCTGAATCCGTAATTGTCATCACACATTGTGTTAGCTTTCTCCAGCAATACTTCACACTTTGAGGTTAGAAGTAATAATAGTGATGTGAACTACTGCTGTTATGATTATTACTGTGATAGCAACTCTACGGATAGATCTTCCTTAACAACCTTTTGAAGAAAGTGTCTGTCTTTTAGAGACATAGAAACGGAGGCCTAGAGAGATTGAATAGTCATCCAGGGTCACACAGTTAGTAAGTGACAGACTTGGGATACAAACCCAGAGTCTGTGTTCGGTCCGACCTCAGGCTGGTTATTTGGGCACATCCATGTGGGAAGATGGACAGGGAGGCGCAGTGAAGGTTTGTTTCTCAGGGTGAGAGGTGACGAAGTACCAACGAGGGCCCTGGTGAAGTGACAGAGACTACAGGGGAGTGGCTGAGAGGATGAGAGGACAGGAAAGCGCTGAGCTCCACACTGGGGTGGGAGGTTCCCTGCAGGCATGAGGGAGGAGACGGGAGTGGAGGCTGTGTGGTCCTGGGGGGTGTTTGGAATCCAGAGACCCCTTCTTGGCTCTGAAGACTGGACGGAGTGTACTGTTGAGATGGAAGGAAACGGGGATGTCGTAGGTATGGGAAGGCGGGACCCATGGAGACCAGGGTTTAGAAGTTACCAACACAGGAGCCGGAACTCTTTGACCTGTTGTAAATTCTCTACTTCTCAGACATCGTCACAGTTAAATGTCACTATGAAAATATCTTCTCAAGGCGAGTACAGGTTGATTCTGAATGGACTGTCGTTGGTCATCAGTCCAGGTTCCCACCCATTTACATGCATTGTTGAAAGTTGATGTATTTTTTTAGTATTGTTTTAAGATACTGTAAGTGTTGGTGTTATGGTTTTGAAAATGATAAATGCCTCACCCTGCCTTTCCAGCCTCGTCTCCTACTCCACCCCTCCATGAAACTAGGCTACACATGCCCCCGGATTGTGCTTCTCCTCCTGGACCCTTTGCAGTGTAGCACCTCCCGGCCGTGCCCTCCACCCGGGGTGCCTGTCCCCAGGAGCCCTAGCTGTCACAATCCTCCTCATCCTGCAAGGCTCATCTCAAATGCTGCCTCCTCTGCGAAGCCTCCCCTGGTGCCCTCGGGCAGCATTGCTCCCTCTCTTCTCCTGGTTCCCACAGTGAATAGCTGGCACCTCTTTTTAGCATATTTCATCCTGCCAGGTGGTATACGGAGTTCTTTGTATCTCTTTCTTCTTCATTAATTATGAGTTCCTTGGTAATATCATCCTGTCCATTTTTATAGTGCTTTGTGATTAATAAAGTGTTTTAACCTAAATTGTTCTGGGGAGGCAGAGGTGGCATTTTTAAAATTCATCTTTGTATATGCCTTACATGTAGATGGACAATAAATGGTGATTACCGTGTATTCATGCTAGTCAAACCCCTGTCTCTCTAAAAAGGAACTAACAGAAACACAATCCAATGCAAGGCATATTTCCCTGAGTCCACCGAAACAAGGTATCAGTGAATTGTCTTTTGAGGTTTCATAAGGCTTTTACTCTGGTATTAATCCTCCACTAAACATCCAAATCCTACTAGGGGTGGGGGAGCCCTGGGCAACTTGAAAGTTAAAATAGAACCAAAATATATAAGGCACACAGCCAGGTGCAACAGAGTAAATATGATGTCCTGGCTTGTTTAATGGAGAATTCTAGGTGGCCAGACCATGGTTTTGCGAATAGGCTGGCAGGTTTTCCCCTCCACTTTTGGAATAAACAGTAACGGAGAGCAACAGAGCATACGGCACCCGTGCTGGCTGGAGCAGGGTCTTCTGTGGCTGCGTGTGCGCACCCGTGTGCCGGTCGCAGGGGAGGGAGCAGTGTTCATGTCATCTGAATTAATAACAAGCCACAAAGTAGTGAGAGGTCCTTTATGTTCTTCCATACAAGGGTGAAAAGGTGGAGGGGCTACAGGCGCAAGCTTTGTATCCTTGGAGAGCCAAAAAAGACAACCATTTAAATTTTAACAAAAATGATGTCATCACCGTCCTGGAGCAGCAAGACATGTGGTGGTTTGGAGAAGTTCAAGGCCAGAAGGGTTGGTTCCCCAAGTCCTATGTGAAACTCATTTCAGGGCCCATAAGGAAATCTACAAGGTACGTTTGTGTTTATCTGCCTCTATCGGTTGAAAACCCCTGTTAGGCATTAAATTGCTCGCACTGGTTAAGAGTCACGGATAGGAGTGGCAGGACCATTTTAGCTCCTGAGAGCGCGAGCAAGCCGAATCCTAGCCACGAGGCCATGCAGAAGTTACTATACGTGTCAACAGAAGAGAGCCTCTTACAGACAAATGGCTGTTTTCTTGCATTGACTTATGCAAAAGGGGATTCTGCTCTGAGACCTGGGGACGTTCTTGTGGCTTTGTTAGAGATTTTGCTCCCTTCATGCTTGGTACCCAGTGCTGTGCCAGGTACATGCGAATACTTGGAGGCCCAGAGAATTTAGGGAAATTATTGGAAGAATGAATTATCTTTTTCATTAGGAAGCTTATGGCTTGGAACCTTAACATAAAGGTTATTTAGTTGTTCTAACCATGTAGAGGATCAGAACAAATGTTGGGCTTTAAGGAGAGATGAATAGCTGAGATGCTGGATGAGAATCCATCAGTCATGCTTGGAAGTAGACGAGTGCGTTGGCTGTGTGCCCAGCACATCAGAGTGAGTTTAGAACCATGTGTCTCCCCATGATGTGTTTTGACTTAGCTGAGTGTATCTGTTTGAGCTGTAGATTGTCAAGGTTTTAAATGTCAAATGATTTTTAAAAAGAAAACTGTGTCATTTGTGCCATTTTCTTTGAGGATGAAAAGTAACGTACGTTCTCCCCTCTTTCAGCATGGACTCTGGTTCCTCAGAAAGTCCTGCTAGTCTCAAGAGAGTGGCTTCCCCAGCAGCCAAGCCGGCCGTGTCGGGAGAAGGTGAGAACCCCACTCAGATTCTGTTCTTTAGAAGCAGGAGGAAATTGGGTCATACAAACAGTGAATGTCTGAAACGAGGTTGGATTTCATTTTTAAATAGTCTACATTAACTTGTATTCATTATATTAAACTCTAAGGTAAAATGATATTCAGCTCTTTACAAAGTCATAGTATTTTATAGAGAATTTCAAAATACTGTCAGTTATTTTGATCATAAAAACTGAATTTTCCAATTATACTTGCTTATGAGCCCTTTGACTTTTGAAAGAGGCCCATCAAAGTCCAGGGTCAAGTTCTTGGAGCATCTCTGCAGCTCATTTTCGGTGGTTACTATCTTCTGACTTACAGATAAGTATTTTGTTTTAAAACCATAACCACACAGTGTAGTAAAGCTGTCACAGTAACATGAGTGCCATCTGTGCCCCAGATGAAATAGAAGTTTAATTTCTGTTCCATGTGAATAACCACACCAGATCATTTAGGCCTGCAAATTTCATTTTGAGTATTTATTACACAAATGATTAATGGCTTTATTTCCCCATCTTTACTTCGTGACATAACCTAATGGATTTTATATGCCATTGTATGGTACGGCTTTAAAAATGAACAAAGCCTACATAATTCATAATCTCATGTCTTTTCTACACTTGGTCCAGCCATTGTCAGAGTCCTAACTGAAGAGTGAGCACTCCCCGAGGTAGACAGGCTTTCTGTGTAGAAATATGCAGTGTCTGTAGCCAACAGATGTCTACACAATTGTATAGTGTTTCACAGTTTCCTTGAATAAATTACATGAGGACAGAATCTTTCGTTTAGTTTGTCTGCCGTTGAGTGTTGCATTCCTTAGAAACCTTGCTTTATGAAAAATAGAATTATTAAAACGGTCATTTCAATGGAGACAGCAAGGATCATGGTTCAGTGGTATTTCAGAAAGTAACAGAGCTACTTTCTCAAGAGAAGTTTTAGAAGTAAAAAAGGTTTTTTTCAGTTTATGGGTATAGGTTTTATAAACCTCATCATCACTGAACAAATCCAGCATTTTATTGCATCCAGTTTTTGCCGTTAACCACCAAAGCAATCATGGGTATAGTTCTCTTGATACATTCTTGTCATCTTAAATAACTTTTTTTTTTATCCACTGTTAGGAGAACAAGGTGAAAAGTCTTTTAAACACAGCACATGTAGTCAGTAAGGCAAATTATGTATGTCACCCCTCCCCCCAAAGTCAGTGTGTTGCATCCAATTCAGTCTCACTGGAGCACCAGAATTTATATCCTGGCTCTCTGATGTAGTAGCCGTATAATTTTAGGCCTCAATCTCCTCATCTGTAAAATGGGCATAATAAGCATCCCTTAAGGTAGGAAATTACGGGTTTATGAGATAATACGTATAAGCTTTTAGAATAAAAGTCAATAAATGTCTGCTACTTTTATTTCCTTTTTGCTTCATTTCCTGGATTATTGATAGACCCACGTGAAGCAGTGAGCATTCTCATCCAACAGCAGTGTCGATGAGTGCTGATTTTTTTTTTAAAACATGTCCAGAGGCCTTCACACTTGGGGCCTCAGTAAGTAGGTCACAGATGAACCACACACATCCTTAAAGTTGGGCAACAGAAGAGAGTTACATTCTAACCTCAGGTGACATTTATTATAGCCATTTTGAGATGATTTAGGTATTGGAAATATTAGGAAGGATTGCTGGCCTTCTGCAGGGGTGTGGGAGCATCTGAAATTCTGAGAAAAGGTACTTAC